ATGCCTATCCACTCATATCCAACTTTTTTAATCATTGAAGAAACGAAAAATTCCAAGTCTTCTAACTTTGTTCAACAAGTCTTGGAGGCACTTATTTTTCAATAAGATTAATTATGAAGATTTAATATTTGGTGGAATGTAATTAAATGAAAACTTTATACATTATAATAACTGTACAAATATATTTATATTATTTTAGAAATTTTGAACATATTTACTTCAAAAAGATTTGTTAAACTTTCCTGCAAAATAGAGATAATTTGAGAGAGAAAGAGAAAATCTTCAAATTTGAAAGAAGAGACATAAAATATAACATACATGTTGGTATTTATGTATCGATGAACATATATTTGTTTCACTTAAATATAATTTGAGTGTTTCTTATACTTACTGTTCACAATGTGAAATTTACGTATAACTTTTGTTTCACAAACATGTTAAAAATGTTTATATTGTGAAACAAATTTGTATTAATTAATATTCTAAATTATTGTATTTGATGAAAAACAAATCATATAAAAAAAATACATGATACTTACTTCTAAAAAATACTTCCAATATTTAATTATATTAAGCTAAATGGTATTTAAATTTATGTGACGTTACTTGAATTACGTGTTAACGGGTTATGGTTGATGTTTACAATTTTCAAAATTTATTTAATCAAGAGTAAAGAATCTTAATTATAATAATAGTTTTTTAAAATCATTTTTATGACATTAATAATATATTACATTTGGAAAAAATAAAGAACTGACATACTCATTGCATCACCCAATCTCTCTTTTCACGATCTATGGAGTGTTTGAGATTGCTTATAAAAATAACTTATTGGCTTATTGTGTTATGATTTGGTGATAAACATTTTTTAGTGTTCGGATAAATAACTTATACCAGTGTCAAATTAGTAATAAAGAGTTTTTTGAAAAAGTTAAATCATTCTAACTTATAATAAGTTGATAAACACTTTTATAGAAAAACATAAGTTGTTTCAAATAAGCAATCCCAAACACCGTCTATATATCATGTTCATTAATATTTTGTAGAAAAACATAAGTTGTTACGATAAATTTAGGTTAAAATCAAGGTTTTAATTGACAGACATAACGTGACGGCGAAATCAAGCCTCAAACGTTATGAGCCACAATAAGATTTTGGTGTTTTTCAAGGTGTTGTTTATAACGACAAATCTTTGTATCATATAAATATGCATATAAACATATACTTTCTATAATTATTTAATGACTCAATGATATTAAAGGATTGGGTTCAAGTGAGAAGGAAAGTTAAGATGAGAAACATAAAAAGAGATTTTCATTCTTTGATCAATCATAATTGAATGTCTAACACTAATGAGAGGCACCGAGATGCACCAGATCAATTTTCTTTTAAAGCGCAATTCATAGGTGAACAAGAAATTAAAAGTGATCAAGGGTTTATATCTCTTTTTATATACACTTCTCACAATAACTTTCATTTCCACGATCCTTCACATGATATTAAATAACTTAAATTAGGGTGTACATTATAAACTAACAAAACATTAAAAAGGTAAAGAAAAACACATATTGCAATACCAAAACCTTATATTAGGTCATGATGTGCCACATGTTTAACATGACGTAAGACACAAGCCTTAAGTCACGACAACTGTTGCAGCGAGCCTTTTTCAATATTGGTTAAAATCAGTAATGAAAAACTGAAATTATGATAAAATTGTGTTTTAGGAAATAAACATTTATTCACTTGTTCAAAATTTTGTCATAGGTTAATTAATTTGGATACTCAAAAATGTTCTTGCATTTTTGTAAAGAACAATGTTTTCGTTTGAAACCCACTTATATATAGGTTGATTTGTAATGTATCATACATATACACACAAAAATTATGTATACAAGTATTTATCAATAATTTTTTATTATCTTAAGTTTATTCCTTAAATATTGCTAATATCATTTAAGACTTCGTATGTTGATGACTCCATTGTCAATAATGATATGATTTTGCTTTGATAAATCACAGATTTCTTATTATTTTGATACGACAATGATGTGATTCTATTGTAATAATGTTGTTATAATTGAAAACCAATGATGATCACGTCCTCGTCTATTCATCATGTGATTTGCAGTTTTTTTTTAAAATTTTTATCCCTCCATACATTTGATATTTCTAAAAAAAGTAAATGTTTATTTAACATTTTACTACTTTCACGATTCTTTTAAAACTATAGTTTATAACAATATAAGTATTATCAAAGAGCTTTTGGCCTAGCGGTATGTGAGTCCTTGACGACTTCCTATGAGGTCAAGGGTTTAAGCCTCACCAAATGTGAGGAGGGTATATGAATTTTTTTTTTATTTGGCTTATATAAATCTTATATACTAAAAAAAATCACATATTTTTCTCGTTTTAAGTCTCGTTCAATATGTGTATGCGTTTTCAAACAATTCGTCTAACATTTAAAAAGATATAAAATAAAATCTGAAAGAAATATAATTATTTTATGGCAGGAATTTCGTTTTCAGTTTTCATATTTTGGACGACAAAACACATTATGTTTTATTGTGGTCAATGAGATGCTACAACTTGGCCGAAGCCATCGGAACAACCATATTACATCACAACCCTTATACTTTGAACTAAATTACATTTTCACCCTTAAACTAATCTATAATTTGTATTATTGGTCCACTGTTTTTTCTTTTAATTTCACATAAATTAAATATTTTTCTTAATAGTACCATGTTTAACTTCCGTTTTCCTTTTGTTTTAAACACGGCTTTTAATCATGGATAAGATAATATATACAGAGGATGTTTACTTTGTAAACTATGTTATTTGTATAAACCTCATTCAATGAATTATAATTTTTTATTTTATTCATTTTTTTTGTAATTATGAAAGGTTGATTAATCATTTTTATTGTGAAGGGTGTTAATCATGGATATTATCATCTTTATTATATTAATTTTAAAGAAATACATGAAACAGTTTCATTGAAATTTCATAACCATATATGAAACAACTTCATCAAAAAAGTATTATATGAAACAATTTCATAAAAAATTTCATAAAGTTAAACAATGAAATCGACGGATAAAGGTGGTTTGCACAGTTTATACTAATATGAGTGGTTTGCATTTGATCGCTTCTATACACACACACACACACACACACACACACATATATATATATATATATATATATGGGACGTTCATTTACAGGGTTGTGTTCCAATGAGACAGATAATTAAAGTGAGAAACGTAAGAATGGATCTCAATTATTGAATGCATATTAGGATTAAATGCACCGAGATATCCCCGTATCAAGCGCAATACATGAATGATTTTGAGATTAAATGTGATCAATGGTCCAGATCTTTTCTTACGCTTCTTAACTTAACTCTCATTCTCGCACAATCCTTAGCCTCCATTTACAAACCACTACACACACATATATATAGGGTATATTTTAAATGCAATCATGTCCATTTGTACAACCAATGCAACCCGATTAATTGAGATATTTATGGAAATGATGAGAATTCATTTATTATGATTTGAATATTTATAAAAGATGAATAGAGTTCATTAAYTATGATCAATAYTTTATATTATGAAACAATCAAAACTTCTATGAAATCACATATTCATAAAATTAAATGGACGGTTGAGATTGGATTGTATTGGTTGTACAAATGTAAGGGGTTGTATAATAACCAACCTCTATATTTATATATATATTATGTTAAATTAAATATAAAACAATTTACTAAAAATAGATATAAGAGTTTATAATGTTCAACCAAATATAAAAAAAGACCAAATTAAGTGACTACAAAACATTAATTAATCAGTCTACAAACCACATAAGTCGATTTATCTGATAAAACATGTTTAGTAATTTCATTTCATAACACGAAAGCCATGTTTCGGCTATTCTTGCTTTGAGTTGTACCATTTTGATTAATTTGCATATATGGTGACCATAAATTCAAATATTATAAATATAATTGTCAATAATAACACACCGTGATTTAAAAAGATCATTTGGATGACCATATATTATACATAAAATAGTTAATGAAAATACATAGCCCCCCACATGAAAATTACAATATTTAGTGGTCCATAATTTCATTAAAATCAATAAAGTTGAACTAAACACAATAATTTATCAACTCCCATTATTATGATGTTATCTAACCAATATTATATTAAATAAGACTTTCTCTTAATCGAATATTTGAAATGTGTAAGTTATAAATTAGTATTAAAAATATTTAGGCGTCAAACTGGACGAGTTATGATATATTTTATATTAATAGACAAGTACAATAAACACGTTTTAAAATGGATTACGATCAAATAAGTTGAATGGTAACTCATTTAATGTAATCCATACGACTTATCCTTTTGTCATACATCATATTGTTTCGTTTGTTACCACATTGTATTCCATATCATTTTATTATGTTGCTTTTTACTATTTTTATTTGTCATATCGAATTTAAGTCTTGAACTGCTCTAAATATATCTCACACTCCTATTGTAATATAACACAAAATGATATACCTTTTATGTGTCAATCAAAGAATTCATATGTCATTTCTAACGAAATATATATGAAATGACATATATGACCTTGAATAAACGTTCATCATTTTTTCTCTTACAAGTTACGTTTTATAAAATTTAAAATCAAGAGTAGATATTTTCCTAAAGAAACCAACTAACGTTTATTCTCCACATAAGAGAGTAAAATGATGTCAACTTTTATACGTGTACGAACTTATACTACAAAAATATAAACAACATAACATTAACCCATGTAAATATCCATTTCCAAATGCAAGGGTAAAAAGTGACATTCCTCAAAAGTTGAAGGGTGATTGATGAAAATAACGGAAATCCCGCACCCCCTCCGTCTTTGCATATATAAGATACTCGGTCAGGTTCTATTTCGATTAAATCTCTCTCTCTCTAAGCTCTCATACTCTCTCATCAATGGAGCTCCACCGTTCCATCGTCTTTCTAGTTTTCCTCTTCCTTGTCGCCGGTAAGTATCCATACGATTTCAAATCGACGGCCGGTGACAAAACTTAGATATATTTCAGCTGTTTATTTGTTTTGAATCGTCATCTGTGTGCAGGAGAAACTGTATATGGGAACGAAAAGCATCAAGGGTTGAAGAAACTAAATCTTCATACGTACCGTGCATTTCGACCGACGAAGCTTTTTGTCTTCGGAGATTCGTATTCCGATACCGGAAACAACCCGAAATCACTGGCTAGCTCTTGGAAAAACCCCTATGGTGTCACTTTTCCGGGGAAGCCCGCCGGGAGATATTCCGACGGCCGTGTAATCACCGATTACCTCGGTACGTACCAACCACCACACTCGCTTTCCCTATATATATATATATATATATATGCTGCCTGCATTTTTTAGTAATTACCAGTATTTTCTTGAATTAAATATATTCTAAAATCAAAATAAATAATAATTTTTAATGATCTTTTGTGAAATTTAATTTAATGAATAATATGTAATTAAAAATATTAAATAAAAGTGGAATTTTGAGCTAAGAATGGAATAACAAAAGAAATGAAAATTAATGGGATTTTACTATTAATGTATGGCACAGGTTCTGAGTGTTCATTATGTCCTTAATTGTCTATGCAAAATTTATGTAATAATATTTCTAACTTATGACCATTATTTCTAATTTCCAATAAACCATATTTTTTTTCTTCTTAAATTATTGAACAAGATCGACATAGAGATGACCGGACGACTTGGCTCACGTCACGACCAAAGTCGCATGTGATCAAATACGTGACTTCTTATATTTTGTGTTCTCTTATATGATTAATGTTCTCATATGAAACCAAAGGGCATTTGGCCTAACGGTATGTGAGTCCTTGGCCTTCTAGGGTTCAAACCTCACCAAAGACGAAAAGGGTGTGTGAGTTTATTTGTTCTATTTACCATATATAAAATTTATATACTTCAAAAAAAAAATGTTCTCATATGAACATGACTTCTTATCCCTCGATATATATATATATATATATATTTGTATATGTGCATATGTAATCAAAATTATCATTGCCCCACAATAGCTTCTTGATAATAAAATCAAATACAATATCTTTCAAAATAAAATAAATAATTGACAATCAAGTTAACCAATAATACAAATCCTTATCAAATAATTGGTTTCATCGATAGCGTTAAAAGTCGGAACTGGACAAGTATGTCAGCGAGGACGTTCGGCTTTTAGGATGGTGGTTCATGAGATCCCATATCGGCTACGAAGAGGAACAAATGTTTTTTAAAGGACTGAATACCTTTTTTATTAGATATGTTTAAACCGTGAATTATGATTTGTGAATAAAACGGATAATATTTGGTATGTTTGATCGAAACTGTTAAAAATTTATATATATTTAAGAAACCTCTAAAATTTAAATATATTAAGAACTCATAAGAAGTGTGTTTATTTTTTATTTAATGAGCTTAATAGTTAAGCTTGTTTTTGTTGCTTCATTTGTGAGTAGTGGTAACTGAAGTACATGGAGAAAGTGGTGGAGTGTGTATGCTTAATATCATTCCCTCCCCCACTTTTATGTAATGTTTTCTGCTTTTGCTTTCTTTCTTTGATATTTAATTCCAATATTTTCTATTATGACCTTTTTGTCCTTGATGTGTTATCCACCTATCTTTTTCAATCATGCCATGTAGAAAAAAACTACAACAAATATATATATATATATATATATCAAAATTCTTTAAAAAGTTGTTTTGGTCTTTAGCTTTTACACTTTGGTCATCATATCACACACTTTACATTTTACCCCCTTCAACTTATATTCCAATTGCAAATATCTCTTCAAAAAGTAACATATGTGCACTTTTTCTCCTTCGACTTTCACATCAACAAACAACCCAATACTTCCTCAACTATCCAACAACATAATGTGCACATATAGCAGACACCATCCATGTGTAGTGCACTTGAAAAAGTGAGGGTTTAAAGTAGACATTTCTAAAAAGTTGAGGTACTTAAAGTGAAAATATGAATGATACAAGTAGTTAATGCAAGTAAGGATTAGTGCAACTTTACTTTTGTGTGGTGCCAATGCCAATGCCATTGCAATTGCCCATAAAAAAGGGAAAGAAAAAGAGAAAGCAGAAAAGCTTGCTTTTGTGAGTATATATGTGATAATTTAAGTGCAGCCTTAAACATCTTTTATGATAGTGTCTTCCATCTTCAATTTTAAGAAATCATTATTTTATGTTCCAATGATACTCTTGAAACACTTATAGCTTCACTTTTTCACCTCTCTCCTACAATATAATTTCATAACTTTTAAGCTTATGGATGAAAACACTCATTAAATTACTCTTTAAAACAGTCCTTGAGATGAGAAAGGATGTTTCGTTATATATGGAGGATAAATGGTCCAAGTCTAGCCGATGTGGGACTCTAACATGCCTCCTCTAACCGAGGCAGATATGTACAGATTGCTCCACAGTATCGAGTTTCTAGAGTCATAGATCTTGGCTCTGATATCATGTCAGAATACATCAGATTACTTTTTAAAAGAGCTTTTAAGGAGATATTGGTGGTTCCATCATATATACACACACATATATAGGCGAGGGATCGTGTGAGAAAGAAAGTTATGGTGAGAAGCATAAGAAAAGATCTGAATCTTGATCACTTTTAATCTCATGCACACCCATGAATTACGCTTTAGAAAAGAATTGATATGGTGCACCTCATTAGTGTTAACATTCAATTAGGATTGATTCAAGGGTGAAGATTTCTTCTTACGGTTCTCAACTGGAACCCAACCCTATATATAGGAGAAATGGTTCAAGTCTAGCCTGCATGCGTAAGACTACAATATAACTGATTTTATACGACGCCTCAAATGTAGAAGCGCCCTAAAAAGTATGTTATAAGACCAAACCAGAAAACATCCCGCCTAAAAGTGTTACAATAAATTTATAGGATGATTTTAGGCGTTTTAACAAATTTTAGGACGTTTTTAAAATAAAGTGTTGTATTAACTATTTTATACGACATTATTTGAAAAAAGTGTCCTATAATCACAAATATCCTATAAAAAGTTGAGTTTAGAAGACACTTTAATTAAATAGCATCTTAAAGTTGAGTTTAATTAAACACTTAAAAGCGTCATATAAACCTACTGTAACGTTTTTAGATAGAACGCTTTATAGTTTGTACCTATGAATCTAAGTTCTACAAAGTATTTTATTAGGATGCTTGGATAATTTAGGCGTCCTATAAAGTCAATTTTGTTGTAGTGTGGGACTCAAATAATTAGGTTACACTTTTTAAGTTTATTTGTTCATCTTAATTTTATAGTAATATTACAAAATGCATATAAACTGTAAGTACCATTTAAAACCAACGGCATTTGAAAGAAACGGTATGAATTTGCAGCGAGGTTTATGGGGATCAAGTCTCCGTTGCCGTATCAATGGAGGAAAATTGGGGGGAACAAGTTGCGATCCGGTATCAACTTTGCTTATGGTGGAACCGGGGTGTTTGACACCGGCAACTTTCAGCCAAACATGACCACCCAGATTGGCTATCTTCAGGAACTAATTAACGAGTCCGTCTACACAAAGCGTGATCTGGAATCATCTGTGGCTCTCGTCACCGTCTCCGGCAACGACTATGGCGCTTATACTGCTTCGGGTGGCTCTGACCAGGTAACAAACATTCTTTTATGCTCATTTTTTGAGTTATAGTTTTGGTTTTAGAGATGTTATTTGAGAAGCCAACTTTGAGGAGTCTTTGTTGGTTGGAATGGTAGTAATGAATTGATCTTTGGTGAGATTATGTTATCCACCAATTTTCATTTTAGATATCAATAGATTCTTGTAAATCTATATATTCTAACATGATATCAGAGCCGGTAGGTATCCAACACTGTCTTCGTTTTGTTTGAAGGGTTATTGTGTTGTTTATACATGATTTGTGAATTTTGGTATGCATTTTCAAAACTGTTTGTTTATGTATATATATATAGGGTCTGCCAGCCTTCATCACTCGTGTTGTGAGTCAAATGGCGATAAACTTGAAGGTAATTCACAATATGGGCATACGACGAGTGTTGGTGACTAGCCTACAACCTCTAGGATGCCTCCCTCGAGCCACAGTCCTTTCTTCGTACCAACAATGTAATGCAACCCAGAATTTGTCGGTCGATTTCCACAACCAACTGTTGCAGAGGGTCGTGGCCACGCTCAACAATAACACAAACGATTCTAGTTTCATCGTCCTTGATCTTTTCAACTCCTTCAGCGTAGTGCTACAAAACAAACGAGCTTTCATAGGTATTCAATACTCATATATTCTTATTTTCGGGAAATTGACTAAAATTGCCATTTTGCACCCTCCAATTCACTTTACAGCCACCTTTTGAACTCATTGACGGATTTAGCCTGAAAAAACGCAAGTGGCGTTACACTATTTGCGTAATCCATTTTTCGGATTAAAATAATGAAGAAAAATGGGCATTATGCATGCTGCATAATGCTTTCGTGGACCCCGTTTTCACTTATACAACTTGCATAATCCCCATTTTTTTAATCCGAAAAATGGATTACGCGAATTTTGTAATGGGGTCTGATTGACTATTTTAATCAATTTCCCTCTTCGAATAAATCAAAGAATCCTGAACTAAAATGAGCACATTTGTGGAATTCAGGGAGCTTGAAGTTTGATGCTCCATTGCTGCCATGTTGTATGGGAATAAGCGTCGATGCTAACTGCGGAAGTGTTGATGAGAACGGAAAGGCGTTGTATACGGTGTGCAAAGAACCGGAGTCTACGTTCTTCTGGGACATGGTTCACCCGAGCCAAGCCGGATGGCGTGCTGTGTATTTAGCTCTTCGGCCGACTTTGACTCAAATTTTCTACTAGCATTATTCTTTCTTTGTGTATCTTTCTTGCTTGGAGTTGCCGTGTGTCGGGTCGACCACTTAGATTCGATCTTAGGTTGTCGTTTGGTTAATTAAGGTATGTGGTTTCTAGGTCTGTAAAATTTGAAATTTAAAATGTAATGCTAGAAGAGGAAATAAAAGAGCATGAGTTGCCAGCCATTATTCATTCAGAACTCAAACCATTTGTCCATGTTTTAGGTTCGTGTTCGTGTACGAAACAACAAATAACCAAAACCTGAGGTCCAGAGGCTATTTGCGACAATAGAAATGCGCATCCGTAGCACGGTCTTTGTAACTGGTCTGGGGCCTGAATCCTAACTAGGCCTAGCCAAATTAATTGATCAGGTCGGTCACATAACCGGTCCCGGCTGTAAGCGGTTAAGACCGAACCGGTTTCCCGGCTTACGGACCTCTACGAACATCTTAATGAATAGTCTTGAGAATTGAATCACTATTTGTGATTTGAGCCTCTAACAATACAACGACGATCCTCTTCCATGTGAACGTACATTATCATATCGGTGGTGGAACCACATAATTTTCTCGTGCATTATGTGGTTGTGCTCTTATTTGATTAATTATTTGTTTAGTATCTCGTTTGCTAGGGTTGTTGTCTCATGTGGACGAACATCACTAGAAAGTATTGTTTCATATTGTAAAACTGTACATATTTTTAATGATTCTCACGGTTCTTAGTAGTTTGAGGTTTTCATTTGATTAAACTTCTTTCAAATGAGAATGATAAATATTTTGAGAACCATAAGAACTAATATATGCGTTGATATATTAATTTATTCATAAAATCAGTACATGTTGATGACTTCATTGTTGTGTTACTATAGATGTAGACCGAAACAACGTCATGTATAAGTTAAGTTCCGTACATCATCTTCCTAATTACCAAAAAAACGCTTCTAACTAAATGAAGTTGATAAAGTATAACATAATACCATACACAAAAAAGGGGACAAAGAAGCAACAAGTATAGAGATTTATAACTTATAAGGGGACATGGGTTATTTAGCTGCTTTTTTCATGAAGTTTTGTATGTATAAAATTGTCCGTGTAGATTAATAGTTCTGTATAAATTGTAAAAGTTTTTGTTTATGATGATTTTTTCATAAATACAAGAAGCGTATTTTTTAGTTGGAATGACAAATCTGAAAAAATACATTATACCATTTTAAATGAGAATGTTATATTATTAATAAAAAAAAACGAGATTATTATAATAAATTCAAAAAAATAAGACATGGACTGCTGCTGCTAAATCAGGCAGAGAAGAAGGCTATCAATGCATTGCATACCTGGACCCATTTTACACCACCACCCCCGTTATATATAAACAATGGTAATTATTTAAGAAGTAAAGAAGTGATTTTAGTTTTTTATCTGGTTAAGATTTATGATTTTGACTGTGAAGTATTGGATAATTTTTCGCATAGTATGCTAAAGATAGATAAATAATTTTATATCTTTTACAAATAGGCGACAAAACAAGTGTATATGTGAATCCGTGCGATTCACATATGCACTATATGTTTATACGTAAATTCGTGTACTTCACATATGAAATATTTAACTGATTCACATATGCACTTGTTTGCCGTCTATTTTTAAAAATTACGACACTACACCGCTAGTTTTCACTTGACCAGTCAAAGTCACAATCTTTGACCAATAAAAGCCGCAATATCTTGAACGTATGAAGGTTAGGATCCCTTCTTTACTTTTCGAATGATAAAACGTCCTTTGCATATATTAAATATATACCTTGGGTTAGATTGGTTGTACATTGTAAACATATCAACTAAATCAGCAAAACTAATTTTAAACTTACCATTTGTGAGATGCATCGAGATGCACCGGATCAATCTCTGTATCGAACGCGATTCATGGGTGGTTTGAGATTAAAGGTGATCAAGGGTCTAAATCTTTTCTTACGCTTCTCACTTTATGTCTCATTCTCAAGTGATACTTCGCCTATACAAATGAATTATATAGAGATGAAGAATATATGAAGAGGGTATATATATAATGGTTTAATTGTCTAAGGTACATGTTAATAGAGACTCAATAATTATATTAAATCAAATAAATAAACAGATATCGGGTTCATAGGGTTAGATTGAGTTCAAATAAAAATTACCCAATATCAACCGAATACCCATGATTTGAAGATTTTACAATTCGATTAAACATTAAGTTGTTTTAGGTTGAATTATTACGTGTTGGACTGATCGGATTTTTGAACACCCTACAATACATATATGTATGTATATATACCATATATAAGCTGCCAAATTTTACTGTTACATTGTTACTTCTCTTTTTCATGTATCACAATTATGAGACAATTAATACGTCTTGGAGTAATGCTACCTATTCACATGTTTGAGTCATTATAATCCATCGATGTCTCTTTGTAACAATACATACCGAACAAAGTCAAAATGCAACTATTTACATGTGAATATGACTTGCTTATATGTAATTGCTATATATATACACACACACACCAATTCATAGGTTGTATTTCTTATGATAAAGCAACACTATAATTTCATTCTACACAAAACTTGTTACATGATTTTAGACATCCCTAATTGCCTATATTTCGTTCAAGACCTCAACCGCCTTTTCGTGTCGTTTGTCAAACTAGCCTCACCTCACTTAAGTGTTAAGGATGAATTGTGTATATTCTATTTCAACAATTCTAGTATTATCAGTATTATTACAATACATTTAATAAAATATTTTTTTCTTTTCTAAACATTTATTTTCAAATCTTTTTTATTGGTGGTCAGGTTGATACTTTGTTACATTAAAATATTATTCTAACCTTGAATATGTTATTTCTTTACTCATAATTTCTTTTTTTCATTATCAACCTTTTGATACAACTTATCCATACTTTCTACATATATCACATTCAATTAATTTTTTCAAATTTACATATATATGTTCACAGTTATTGAACATATATACGAATAAATTATATAGAGATGTGAATAGATTAAAAATATGTGTATATAAAGAGCATACATGATAGTGTAATTGTCTAATATATATATATTAATTAAAATTCAACAATCATATTAAATCCAAGAAATAAGATGATATCGGATTCATCGGGTTGAGTTGAGTTCAAATAATAGTAACCCAATACCTATGGTTTAACAATTTTACAACTCGATTAGACATCGGGTTGCTTCGGATTAAGTTATTTCGCGTTGGATTGATTGGGTTGGTCGGGTTTTTGAGTACCCAATAGAATATATAATGCAAAATTCCAAGAAACAGAAAGCATCTAAAATTCTAACCATGCCCACATGCCCAACCTTGCATTACGTGATCCATCCACCATTCACATGCATCCATTTACGTTACTTGGCTTCTTTTCCTTCCAACAAACATTAACTAAGCAACATTTGACTTCATTTCATGGGACTCATCAAATACTATATATAATTATATATATACATCCCGTGATTCGATCCTATTTTTTGTATGATGGCAACATCTAACTGTATAAACCATTCGTATCGTATATATTTATCGGTTTTAAATTTTTACGATGCTAAAACGGCATTTACAAAATCTTTATTCTATTTTAGTTCAAAAGTGAATATGTTCGTTTAAAATAGTTAAATCTGATTACTTTCTATTTATTTTTAAATGAAGTCAACCTCTTTCCTTTTTGTAAAAGAGATAAAATGGTATATCCTAAATTTCCTTATTTCACCCATAATTATAAGATCACAGATAGTTTTTTTAGTTCATATATTTATACTGATAATTATTTTTTATGATATGTATTCACGTAATTGATGAACATGGATAAGAAAAGAAGTGGAATTTTGGAACAGTAAACTATTTTCCTTCTCAACCGGGAGAAAAATAATCTATCCTAAACTTTTCTATCTATTCTATATTCATCAATCATATAAATCCATACAGTTTATTTATAAAAAAAGAAAATAAATTATAATTACATATTTGTATATTAAATAAAATGATAAAATGAGTTTAGATAATAAATCAGGTGAGAACCGACTTTTTTCATGAGACCACATAAATAATATCGAATCTTCACGTTAAAACATTATGAAGTTTTAATGTTTTTTTACCTTTTACCGTAAAACTTTGGTATTATTTTGTGATTTAAAAAATGGAGATGGAAGGAATACGAAAATTTGGAAGAGGGGCTGCCCCTCGATCTCCCCATAACCCTAAAAATCCAGTTACTTATTAGCATTTATGTCTCTATAAATATCAACAGTTTCTTTTCTGCCTTATAATAATAACTCTCTTCTCTCTCTAAACTCTAAAACAACCCGATGGGTGTCGCCGGAAAAGCAGCATTGGCATACCATGTGTTGCCTATGCTGGTCTTTGTAGGACTCGTAGCCGCCGGTGAATATGTCCGCCCTCCTGCCGGAAGGTCCCTTGACGTATCGCTATCCAACAATTATACTCCAACATCTCCCCAACAGGTACATAATAGACATAACATATATATTATATATAGAAGATCATTTTTGAGATCAAACTTTCTTTTGCTTTGAAGTTTCGGTGTTATTTTTTGTCTTAGCAAGGAGTACAAGTTGGTCTCATGTAAATCCAATCATATGTATATATATATATATATATATGAATTCTTAAACAAAAACATCTTAATCACATCATTTTTATAACTTGAATTCATTATATATATATATAGGTGCATATATCGTTGGCGGGTGATGACAAAATGAGAATTTCCTGGATTACTCATATACCAACTCCATCCACCGTAAAATACGGTACCTCTCAAGGAATGTATAATGCTTCGAGCACGGGTACCAGCTCTTCGTACAGATACATCGTTTACAGGTCTGGTCAAATACACGATGTAGTCATCGGTCCGTTGGAGCCGAGCACTACGTATTACTATAAATGTGGGTATGATTCAAGCCCCGAATATAGTTTCCGGACTCCTCCTGCTCAGTTACCGATCACTTTTGCTGTTACGGGTATGTGTTCGTCACTTTCCTTTTATTACAATAAAATCGGTTTTATAGGATATCAAATATGTATAGATTTTTAAGACTGTTTATAGGATCAAACTACAGACGGTTGTGAGTGGAAAGATGTTATAAATTATAAAATGATTTTGGGTGTTTTTAATAAATTTTTTAGGACACTTAAAAATAAAACATTTAGAATTATCTTTTAAAAACGAGTATATTATAAAAAGACTGATTTGCCCCTTTAGTTCGAAAGATTGATTTATCTTTTCTAACGGTTGTTAATTGAAAATATTAATTCATATGGACCTTGAGTGAATGAGTGCTATGAAATTGAAAGTGAAGAACATTAGTGTAGATAGTTAGGGATCAAATATAAATTTTGAGTAAACTATAGGGACCACCCGGTATAGGTCACCGTAAATTTTAAAAAAATTACTTGGTAAACTATAAATTTGGTCCGTGCTTTGTCAAAAGTAACACTTTTGGTCTTTATAGTTTTGAAATTACATGATAATTATCGTAGTTTGTAAAAACATTCGGATTTGATCTTTTCTTCTAACAACTGTTAAAAATCTCCGTTAAGTGTGATTATATTCGTCATTTTATTGGATTTTGTCTTTACCCAATTAAAATTGATTTTATGAATTTGGTATTTATGGTTTTTGATTGGGTAAAAGATTTTCTTTTGTTAAAAGAACGAAAATGCCTCTTATTTAACGAAAACCGTTAAAAGGAGGGATCAAATTCGAACGTTGTTACAAAATACGATTACCATTTCATAATTTTCAAATGATGAAAAGTATTATTTTCGATAAACCACAGGGACCAAATTTGTCGTTTACTCAATGACCTATAAAGAGCTAATATATATAAAGATTACATTTCACTTGTTTAACTTATCGTAACATTTTTATATAGAATTATAATTTTTTGGTTTTATAAAACGGTCTATTAAGTCATTATGTACATTTAACATCTTATAAAATAATCTGTTAGAATATTTAAAGATACCATGAGTTTGAATCTTAGGAGATCTAGGACAAACTGTATGGACTAGATCCACCCTGCAGCATATTGGGAAAAGTGGTTATGATGTTTTACTGAACCCTGGAGACTTAGCCTATGCTGATTATTACCAACCATTCTGGGACTCATTTGGCCATCTGGTTGAGCCTTTGGCTAGCCAACGACCATGGATGGTGACACAAGGCAACCACGAGGTCGAGAGAATTCCGGTCATCCACAACGAGCGGTTTACAGCGTACAATGCTCGATGGCATATGCCGTTTGAAGAGAGTGGTTCAAAATCCAACTTGTTCTATTCATTTGATGTTTCTGGTGTTCATGTCATCATGCTCGGGTCTTACACGAATTTTGAACTAAACTCGGACCAGTATAAATGGCTCGAGTCTGATCTGAGGAAGGTCGATAGGACTCGAACCCCGTGGCTGTTTGTTCTTGTTCATGCTCCTTGGTACAATTCGAATGTTGCCCATCAAGGAGAGAAAGAAAGCACCCGAATGAAGGATACGATGGAAACTTTGCTTTATAATGCTCATGTCGACATAGTTTTTGCAGGCCATGTTCATGCCTACGAACGCTTTGTAAGTTTTAATTTCTCAATCGCCATCGTAAAAAACCAAACCAAATTTGAAATCTCCCTCTAGATCAACAGGGAATCGTATTGCGAAATGGCCTAATTTCGATGGATAGCATTTTCAACCATGTTTCTGTTAGTTCGAGATTATAACCATTTTTCCCCGTTTTCTGGAAGGCACGCGTGTACAAAGACGAAGCTGATAAATGTGGTCCGATCCATATCACGATTGGAGATGGTGGCAACCGTGAAGGTCTTGCTACGAGGTAAGTTATCGCAAAATCTTCACCAATCAGTTTTATAGTACGCAAAAATGTCTAAATATCATAATAGACTGCTTTATATTATTTACATTTTTTGAAGAATCATATGATTTAATTTAATAGGTGCGAAATTGTATTATAATAAGTTGACAAGACACTTTTGGACATTTTAAACAAGTTTTTAGGAGATTTTTGAAATAAATCTATCATATTTAGGGTTTTATATGACTGTAAAAATATTTTTTTTGAAGTATATAATATTTATATACTGTAAATAGAACAAATAAACTCATATATCATCCTCACCTTTGGTAAGGTTTGAACTCTGACCTCCTAGGAGGTCAAATACTCGCATACCTCTAGGCCAAAGCCCATTTGGTCTTGTAAAAATATTACAAGACACTTTATTTCAAAAAATATCCTAAAAAACTCGTTAGGATGCCCAAATGCGAGAAAACATTGTATTGTAATACCTGCATTTATATTTGACATAGAATTGTTTGGTCATATAAATTTAAGTACTATAAAACAATTGTATTATAAGAATACTTGAGCATTCTTGGTGTCCTGTAAAACCAGTCTTGTTGTAGTGTTGGCATCACAAATCAACAACGTTCGTTAACATGATCTTCAATTGTTTATAGGTATAAGGATCCACAACCAAAAATATCGATGTTTAGGGAGGCGAGTTTCGGTCACGGGCAGCTGCGAGTGGTGAATGGAAGTCATGCGCAATGGACATGGCATAGAAACGATGACGTTCAACCAGACTCGGTTTGGTTTACAAGCCTGGCTTCTGATTCTGGTTGTGTGGTCTAGGCCAAGATGGTTCAATATATATGGTTACTACACTGAACCATAATATATACATCGGGTACATGTATGTCTAAAGCTGTAGGGTCGGGTTGGGTAGTGTTTGAATCTATCTGTCCATAAATTACATAAAGACATCAATAATACCAACAAAAAAAATTGGTCCCATGGTGTCGTAAATAAATGTACGATCAATTTCACTATAAAGAGATAGAGCTTCACTGATGGAAATGTTATGTCGGTAATTATCGATGTTTTTCCAACGGATTGGTGACACATTCGTAAACGATAATGACAAAATAGAGACAGATTAGCGACAACAGAAGATCTAACGCTAATCTGTCGACAATAATTACCTACGAATCAACTACCAGCTTACTGACGGATCCAATGTCGTCAATAAACAATTGTATGCAACAATTTACCCGGTAAGCACTTACTGTGATTTTACATTATCATTAACTTATCGGGTAAGATTTTAGTCCACCAAAACGGCATTGTATGCAACAATTTACGCGGTAAGCACTTATTGTGATAAGAGTTGTCGATCTCACATACCGGGTAAGACTCTTGGTCCTTATCTCATTCGTACCGGGTAAGATTCTTGGTCCTTACCACATTCATCCGCTAAGGTAATTTGATTTGGTAAGCGTTTGGTAAACAACTCATTACTTGTAATAGATTATAACAAGTCATCGCAGGTTGTATCAATTATTTCCCATATACACTATACATACATGTGCTATACCTCATAAAAATACATACATACATTATAGAAATACATAACTACTTGAGTTGTAGTACATGGTTAAGCCCTTGTTGTTACCTTGGGTTCGAATTCAAACGTTGCTAAAGCCCTTGTTATCCATGGAGGTTTTTAGTAGATGACACTTGTTAGATTTCCTATTCAGGCCTCCAATAATGGTTTAATAAATTAAAACCAACACGCTTGCATTATTATTTAACGTTTTCATTTAATATTACGTTCGATAAGTCAATATCTGGAAAATCATGTCACACGTGACGAAATATATTCCAAACCAATCTTACAAATCTATAGTGGAAAAAGTGTCCCCAAATTATACAAGCATTTAATTCGATAATAAATTCTTGACAAAATATCTAAGATATTTTGTTGGTGTCACGTGATGTTTGTTAAATCTATCATTTTAACTGTATATGTAATTGTATAAAATGAAAAAGAAATACCTTCAAAAATTATATTATTATAATAATTTTTAATTTATCATACTTTTTTCTTAAAAAAACTCTAAAAAATAGTAACTTGATTTATTGATAAATTAAATAAAATAAATATTTCTTTTTTTCATTATCAAGTTTTAGAGAATTTTTTATATTTAGAGTTTTTTTTTTATTTTAAAGAAGGGAAAAGTACAATAAAAACCAATGAACTTTCTTGTTTGGAATGATTAAGTCATTGAACTATTTTTTGGAACAAATAAGTCCTTGAACTTTCCAAAACATGTTAAATAAGTCCTTGGACAATTTTTTGACACAAATAAGTCTTTGGACATTCTAAAATATGTTAAATAAGTCCTTAGACATTCCAAAAAATGTTAAATAAGTCCTTGGACAATTTTTGGAACAAATAAGTCCTTGRACATTYCAAAAAATGTTAAATAASTCMTTGKACAATTTTTGGAACAAATAAGTCCTTGAACAATCCAAAACATGTTAAATAACTTCTTAAACTTTTATAGAACATGTTAGATAAATTCTTATGACTTGTACAACTAGTTAAAATGGTAATTATTTTTTTGTTATATTTGTTTAATTTTATAGATCTAAATACTTTTTGGTTGAAAAAATGTTTAGGGGCTTAATCGTTCAAAATATGAATGTTCAKTGGGTTTTTTTCGGGATTTTTTTCACTATTTTACCACTTTATTTTTTTCAAAAAGTTATTTAACATGTTTTGGATTGTTCAAGGACTTATTTGTTCCAAAAATTGTCCAATGACTTATTTAACATTTTTTGGAATGTCCAAGGACTTATTTGTTTCAAAAATTGTCCAATGACTTATTTAACATATTTTGGAATGTTCAAGGACTTATTTAACATGTTTTGGAAAGTCCAAGGACTTATTTGTTCCAAAAAAAGTTCAAGGACTTAATCATTCCAAACAAAAAAGTTCATTGGTTTTTATTATACTTTTTCCACTAAAGAACAAGATATCAAAGCTGTTAGAAATATTTTGATAAACAAAAACTCAATCTTTTTATTTTAAAAAAAGTTATTAAAGATACTCATATTTTACTCGGTCCCTATAAAAAAATCAAGCATATGATTGAGTAGCAGCAGAAGTGAGCAATCTGAGTTTAGACCAACTCAAAATGCCATTCCAGAATTCTTGGTATTATCCTTAATCATCTCCCACCATCCATGGCCATTGATTGACCCATTATTCCATTCATCCTCGTCCTCTTCCTCCCTCTTCCTCTTCCTCTTCCTCTTCAACAACAATGGCAGAAGGAAAGATTTCAGCAGCAGCAGCCAGGTCTCATACCAGAAAATCCAAATCCAATTCCAATTCCTTCGCCGGTGAGTTCCATTTCGTTTCATTTCATAATCCAAACCCTAAAATTCATGTTTTCAGACTCATAATCTCCCTCAATATATAGGGATTTTGAAGAAATTACTAGTCGTCTTCTTCGCTGGGTTTGCCGCATGGGCAATTCGTCCACCACCTCCCACCAAATTAGGATCTTCAGATATCACAACCCCAAGGATAAAGCTTCGTGATGGAAGACATTTGTCCTACGTAGAAGCTGGTGTACCAAAAGACAAAGCCAAATTTAAAGTAATCTTTGTCCATGGCTTCGACTGTAACAAGTATTTTAACCCTTTTGCCGTCGCAGCCTCACCGGTACTATACATTCTTTTCATTTCTTACTTTTAATTTGCTTCGATTCTCAGCAATAACGACGATTTTACCTTCACAGGCTCTTGTTGAAGAATTAGGGGTGTACCATGTTTCAATAGACCGACCTGGTTATGGCGAGAGTGACCCTCACCCCAATCGAACCGTAAAGAGCTTGGCATTGGACATAGAGGAGTTCGCTGATCACTTGAACCTGGGACCAAGATTCTATGTGGCTGGATACTCCATGGGTGGGCAGGTCATGTGGTCTGTTCTCAAGTATATCCCTCACAGGTCTGTTTTTTTCCCTTAAATCTTTTTAGTCTTCTTGAAGAATTATCATCATCACATTGGCTGATTATAATATAATTCTGGTGTGTATATATATATATATTTCTATGTAATGAACAGGCTTGCCGGAGCAATTCTTATTGCTCCGGCCATCAATTACTGGTGGCCTAACCTCCCTTCAGACTTGACAAATGAAGCATTCTCTCGGCAACTTCCACAGGACCGATGGGCTATGCGTGTCGCTCACCACCTACCATGGCTGACCTACTGGTGGAACACTCGGAAATGGTTGCCTCCTTTTTCTGCTATTGTCGGAAACCCTGTCATTTATTCTCCCTCAGATGTAGAAGTTTTCACGAAGCTGTATGCTGCCACTGCCGAAGATCCAAATAAGGTATTCACTCTTTAAAGTCCTGAACTCTATAGTATGTATATAAGCTGATGCTTATGCTACTGTTTCTTGTTTCCTTTTTCTTGTGAAATTAGGCACAAAAGATGAGATCCGGGCCAAGACAGCAAGGGGAATTTGAATCACTCCATCGTGACTTGAATATTGGATCTGGGAAGTGGGAATTTGATCCACTAGATGTGGAAAACCCATTTCCAAACAACGATGGGTCAGTTCATTTATGGATGGGTGATGACGATCGGATTGTCCCAGTGTCACTGGAACGTTACTTCGCCCAAAAACTTGAATGGATCAAGTATCATGAGGTGGCTGGCGCCGGTCACATGATGGCTTTCCAAGGTGAAGTAGTTGATGCTATACTTAAAGCATCTTTTAACCTAAAGAATTAGGTTGAATCCAAGAAGAAGTAAGCAGTTGCTGAATTTGATCTTTCTTTGTTTCTAATCCGAAGTGGTGTACCCACATCTTTCATAAAGTTTAGTTATTTTAGTTATAATTTTTTTTTGTTATGTGACAAACTAGACGATAAATATCAAATAAATAGATGAAGATCTACTGCAAGAAACTTGAAGCATAGATGAAAGTAACTAAAGTATACATACATCAGCCATAGAACTAGAAAGCATCCCTTCAAAATGACTCTAACCATATGCCATTCAGAAGATGGCTTCTGAAAGCATTCATGGACAAATAAACAGTCTCGCAAATATATACTATCCCCCCCAGATCGAAGGCAGGCATCCTTAAGCATGAAAAATAGATAATAGTTCATGTTCCAAACCAAAAAAATGATTTTTGTTTTAAAGAAAGGACGATACAGTAGCAGAGCCTGTCATCTTTTCTAGTTTAGTTGCACTAAATCCTCCATGTGTTAAAGAAAGAGAGCCAAAGGCAAAGATACAACACATTTTCAAGATACCTTATTATACAGATTAAATTCAAATAAAAGATGAATATAGTAAGTTTTAAACAGAATAGAACTACAAGAACTGAAACAAAATTACCTGAAGCTCGGAATTAGAGGCACCCGTCTAACTCTAGTTACGAATAACACACATAAACCCAGGAACAAAAAGAAGGGAAATTGTTCAAGTTATCATTAAAATTCAGCTTATTTCCCTCTTGATTTACACTTTTTAGTTTTGCTTTAATGATTTAGATGGTTTCTACAATACTGTACCTCCACCATTTGAGAAGCTTGTTAAGCGCCCATGATCATGTTCATATATGCAAACACAAACACAAAGTCTCATGCCTATCAAGAAAATGGAAGGAAAAAACTTGGAAAAAAGAACACTTGGTTTATGTTGACCATAAAAGTTGAAAAAGAACAAGATTATACAGGAAGTCGATAACATTCACATAAACCAGGAGATATCAAGTAAACTTCCTAAAAGCTGTGCATTGAAACAAAGAAAGCTATGAATAAAGATCTTCCCAAACTTTGAAATCAGAAGAAGATTTATTGTAATTGATTACACTGTCCTGGCAGCCTATGATATATGTGGTCCGTGTCGAATCCATGTTTACCAACGCATGAGCAGTTCCAGATGGGCTGACGGCAACTGCAACCTCGTCTGCATCAACTGTTACTTGAGCGTATCCTTTTCCTAATGCATTGTTTTCCAATCTAAACATTGTTCGAGCTCCCCAAATCAGGAGCGTCTCATTGCACGTATGGTGTCTGTGATTTCCTCTCAACCCACCAGGTCTAATTTCACCAGCATGAATAGAAGCACAAACCATGGCTCCACCGGGAATGCCAGAGTCGATGGCGATGGAAACCGGATCGAGCATCCAACCACGGTTGTCTTTGGTTATTGGTGATGGGAATCCAGAGGTGAATCGAATAAGATTGGCGTCACGATCTTGATCGTCATCGATTGAGAATCTCCTACTAATGTCATTCGATTGGTTGGGTTTTGATAGGAATTGTGAATTGCGTTGTTGGATTCTGAGGAACACCCAGGTGAGAAGTAGGAAAATGGAGAGCAGAAAAGGGAAAGCCTGTGGCTTCTTGAGGAAAATTTTGAATCTGGAAAGTCTTGCTGCTAGGGTTTGTGATTGAAAAGGGGCGGTGTTGATTTCTGGGATGGAAATTGGGATTTCGTTGATGGTGGAGTATGAATTTCTTCTAGGGTTGGCCATCTCATTGACACCAGATTTCCAATTTGGGATCTTCCCCCTTTTATGTGTATCTCCATCTCCCTCCCGCTCTCTAGTCTCTACGATTGCATGTTAGGCTAAATGACAAAAATGGTACCTTAACTATGGTCAGTTTACATCAACAGTCCTTCGATTACTGGTTCTATATTTCGGTTCAAATTTGGTCCTTCATGACCTATTATTAGTTGGGAAGATTTACTTGTTAATTTAGACGTTGTAATTCTAGGTGGAAAATTAAATTAATTAATTACATAATTATTATCAAGTAAAAAATCTTAGAAAAATAAATTTACAAAATTCATGGAAATACCATCAATTCAAAAAAAAATAATAAATGGAAAAATAAAATAAAATTATAAATTGAAAGGCTTGTTGGCCCAACAAATCCTTAATTAGAATAGAAGAATCAGGATTCAGGACTGCCAAAAGCCCAATCCATTGCAGCCCACAACAAGGTTCCTCGACCCTCGTCTATAGAGGTGGTCAAAAATCAGTCCTCAGTCGGGTCGGACCCAAATCAGTCCCGATCCCAAAGTAGTGATCTCGTAACCGGTCCCGGTCCTGACTCAAATACGAAAGCCTGGTTAAGGTGTATGAGTTCGGTTATGAGAAACGGTCCCGGTTCTGGGCCGTGCCCAAACCGATTCTATGTAAAAAAAATCGCTTTTTTTATGTAGTTTTTTTAAGAACACAAAAGTAATTATTTTAATACACTTGAAAATATGTAATTGAATCAATTAAATATACTTACAAAACACATTTTTTGCAAGAATTGTGAATGTTTGTGAGTTGGTATCTTCCTCCATATACCATATGACTTATATATAGTGAATAGGGGATAAATTGGACAATTACATACACTTAGAAAATACGTTTTATTATAATTTTGTAATTGGTTTTCAATCAAATACACTTAGAAAGTTATAAATACATTTTTTTGTAAAGTGGTCCAGGCTCAGTCGGGACTTGGCTTTTGACGAAAATCGTAACCAGTCACTAACCGGCGGTTCCAAAGTGGTCCCAAGTCGGTTCCGGGCTGAGCATATTTGGCCATCTCTACTCATTCGTTATCCCTGTCCTCGTTGGAAAATAAGATCACAATTTTATCCTGTCCTTAACGGTGAACGAGGATCTTTTTTTCAAATTCAAATTTGCAAACAAAACAAGTGTCTTCAAGTGTCACAGTGATTTACCAATGAGAGGTGTATTTTGAGATAAGAGTAACATAATCAGGAGAGGTGTATTTTAAGATAAGAGTGACATAATCCGGAGATGTGTATTTTGGTGTAAGGGTGACATAATCAGGAGAGACGTATACTATGATAAGGGTGGCAAAATCAACTGTATGTTAAAAATAGGATTTTGATCATGTGGAAATTGTTATCGCATCTTCATGATATGAGATTGGTTTATCACATCTTTATGATGCGATGAGATGATATTATCACATTAATGTGATGCGAGAAAGATGTTTATCGCATCCTTGTGGTGTAAGGAGTTGGGTTATCGTATCCTGAGGTGCGACAAGTTGTGTTTATCGCATCCTTATGGTGCAACAAGTTGTGTTTATAGCATCAGTGTGGTGCGACAAAGGGTGTTTATCGCATCTGCTTTGTGCGACAAAAGGTGTTCATCGCATGTGTTGGATGCGATGAAATGGGTTATCATATCTATTTGATGCGAGGAAATGAGGGTTATCTCATCCTTGTGATGTGAGAAATTTGTGGTCTCGTCTATATGATGTGACAAAAAAGGTTTGTTACAATAAATTGTTATTTACATAATATCATTTTAGTATTGGTTTCTAAAAAGTGTTTTAGTAATTTTCATCCTGTAATAGCAACAAAAAATGATTTCTCACTAGACACTATGGTATAACCCTTGTTTTGTTTTACACATGTGCATTAAAGGTCGGGCACATATGGAGAGCAAAGGAAAGGGAAAGATGTGAAAGAAGTATGATTACTTTACCTCTGAATTTTGGGAAGCTGTTATTGTGCATGTACTTGAGAACTTGTTATATCTGTAAGTCATGTACTTGGTGTAAAATTGAAAAGTTTGTAACTACTTTTATATATAGCAATTTATACATTTGGGATCAATGTGTATATTTGTATTTCATGTTAAAGCGAATATTTGGTTTTTATGCAAATGTGGAAGTGGGGTGTTACATTTAATGATTAGAAAGTGACTTATTCAATAATTTCCTAGGGGAAAGTTTTATGCAGAAAGACAAATTTATTTCTAAACATGTCTCTCCCAATTAAAATACAAGCTTATTTCATCCATGAAAAAACTCTCTCAAACAAAAACCTTCATGATACATACAAACATATTAATCTACACCACAACTTAACAAACGGAAGTTAATGAAATACCAACCAAAATGTCTCTTACTTAACTATGTTTATTTTTTTATTTTATATATATATATAAAACTAGTATATTCATTTTACTTATTAAGTTTATTATTGTCTATTTTTCTTGTAATCTTGAGTTTTAAATAACATGCATTAATAAGTAGTACTTTATGCATAAAATGTGGTTTTTAAGAGTTTTTATCAAATGTTTTATAATATAGTATAGATATAAAATCTCTTAAATTTTTTGAGATATGCATATTATATTTCACTAGTTTAAAAACAAACAATAATCAAATTAACAACCAACGATACAATATGCAAAAATTTGTTCTTATTTCGGGGATTAATTATCTTTTGGTAATTAAAGCTATTGTTTTACGTTAAGAAGCGTTTTAAGAATTGTATCAGTCACCCCATCTGCAAAAGGAATCATGTGTCCACCACCAGCGACCTCATGATATTTGATCCATCCAAGTTGTTGGGCTATATAACGTTGTAGTGTGACGGGGACAATTAGATCGCCATCGCCCATCCATATATGAACCGACCCATTATTGTTTGGAAACGGGTTTTCGACATCCATTGGATCAAACTCCCACTTCCCAAATCCAATAATCAAGTCACGATGAAGTGACTCAAATTCTCCTTGCAGTCTTGATTGTGATTTAAACACTTTTGCCTTCAATATGTAAAAAGGTTAAGAAGGCAGTGTAGCCATATATATGTACTTTTAAGTCTATGTTTTGCAAATTAGCTGATAAACTAATTGTTGACCGAAAGTAATTGTTGATTAATAAATTGGTTGTTCGCATGACACTTAAAATGTCTAAACTTCCTAATAAAATACTTTACACGACTTAGGTTTATAGGATTAAACCAAAAAACGTCATATTTAAAAGTTCTACATTAGGTTTATAGGACATTTTTAAGCATTTTAACAAGTTTTTTACAACGTTTTTATGATAAAATGTCATATAAACTATTTTAACGACACTATTAGAAAAGTGTGCTATAAGGTTTATAGGACATTTCTCAAAAGTATACTATAAAACAGCTAATAGAGCATTTTAGTTTAAAAACGTCATAAAAACTTGTTCAAACGTCTTGATATAACTTATTGTAACGTTTTCAGATAGAACGTTTTATAGTTTAGTTCTATAAACTTAATTTTTATAAAATACTCAATTTACATGCTTAGATACTTCAAGCGTCTTATAAATTTATTTTGAGTTGATATTTTAATTATTTAATAAAAGATAGTTGATAAATTAGCTGATAATGTAAACTGACAAAAGATAAACATTTTGAAAAATTAACCAAAAAAAAATGAAAAAAAGTCGTTGAAACTTTTTAAAGATGATTGGGTGGGTTAATCTATCTGTATAGATTGAAAATATTTTCTGTTTACAAGAGTTTTTTTATATATAAAAGAATGTGCTTTTTTATTAAGCTAGACAAGTTTAGAAAAAGAAAGCTTAATTTTCATCATAAAACTTATTTAGAAACTTACTCAAAGAATAAGCCACTTTCGGTCTTAATGAATAAGTTGTATGTCCCATTAATTAAACTAATTAAAATAGAGACTCTTATAAAATTGGATCTAGAAGTAAGATAGTGATAGTGATAGTGATAGGATGTGATAAGAGGTAATACCTGATCGGGATCCATACGAGCAACCATGTTGGATAAAACTTGGACATCGGAGGTAGAATAAATAGCAGGGCTAAATCCGGCAATAACAGAAAAAGAAGGAAACCATTTCTGAGTATTCCACCAATAAGTCAGCGATGGTAGGTGGTGAGCCACACTCATAGACCATTGATCTTGTTCAAGTTGCCCGGAATATGCTTCCTTCCTCAAGTTCGAAGGAATGTTATCCCACCAGTAATTCACCGCCGGAGAAATAAGAACAGCTCCGACAAGCCTGTTAATTTATTCCATATATATATATATATATATATATATATATATGCACATCACAGTTAGTCGATTATAATTAGGTTTTAATGAAGTTTGAATCTATCATACATCTCTTGAGAAGATGGACTCCCGTTGACCACTTGGTAGTTAGATCGGAATTTATAATAATATTATCTCCGTCAAATTTTGCAAGATGAGAAAATGGATATTTTGGAAAAATTTTGTTCTAATAAATTTTTTAAAACTTTACCAAAAAAATGGAAAAAGAACGAGCAAGAATGTGAAATTCTTTAAATTCACACGCTTCCAAAAATATATAAAATGATTACAATTATAAATAAACATTTTTTTTATCATATTTATACCAATAAAAAAATTGTTAAATGTTTAGAAAAGATAAATAATATTTTACTAAATATAATGGATATTTTAATTATATAATTATTAGTGGTGATGGCGGAGATGCTGAGTAGGAGGTGGGTGGTTGATAGCGTGGTTTAAGGATGGTTAAAAATCGGTCCGGTCCTTGATCTGTTTTCATAACCTTTTACGGTCCTGACCAAAAATCTATGGTCCAGTCTCCATGTTTTATAACTGGTCTCTACATCTAGTCCCATTTTTTCTTTCCAAAAGTCAATTTTGAACGTAAAAGAATCTTGTTTGAATTTTTTTCATGGACAATATCTTATTAAAATACAATTTAAAATCTCTAATTGGATCATTTAAATATACTTTAAGAATATTTCTTTAAAATCTTTTTTACACAAAAATGTTACAGATGTTTTATAATTACAATTTTTTAGATTTACTATTAGAACGTTTACAAAAACGTCAAGAACTTGAGTTTTTTTAAAAGAACTTGAAAATCTTATAGAAATATTGAAAAATTTGATATATAAATTATAATAAAAGTTGGGTCTCGGTTCCATGTAAACCAGTCCCAATTCAGGCCGTGAATCTTCATAAAAACCATACTAGGCCAGGCCCAAAATGATACTTATTGGTCTCGATCCTACGCCCAGTTAGGCCATTTTGGCCATCTGATGGTGACGTTAAGGGTGGTTTTGATTAAATTGGATAAAAAAGTTTTTTTTTTTTTTTTGGATAAAATCAAATTATAAGATTTGTCATATTGGATTACGTGGAATCCAATCCATTTAATCCGTGAATCAAATATCATCATATGAAATTAATCATTCCAATTCGGTTTGATTATTTCGAATTCTATGAACCAAACATCCGAAAATTTGAAAGGAACGGACCTGTGAGGGATATACTTGAGACAAGACCAGATGACTTGGCCACCCATTGAGAATCCGGCTACATAGAACTTTGGTCCAAGGTTCAACTGATCGGCGAGCTCTTCGATGTCCAACGCCAAGCTCTTAACGGTTCGTTTAGGGTCAGGATCACTCTGGCCATAACCAGGCCGATCCAAGGCAACAATGTACACCCCTAGTTCTTCAACAACAGCCTGTGGAAATCATGCATCATCAATTATACACAATATATATATATATATATATATATATATATGTATGTATGTATAGTGGAAAAGGAAGAATAGGGCATATATTTATACCGGTGAGGCTGAGACGGCAAAAGGATTATGGTACTTGCTACAGTCGAAGCAATGGACGTATATTAATTTAGATTTGGCCTTTTCTTTTGGAACACCAGATTCTATATAGGATAAATGTCTTCCATCACGAAGCTTTATTCTTGGGGATGTGATATCTACAGATCCCAACTTCTTGGGAGGTGGTGGACAAGCTGCTTGATAAGCCCATGCACTAAACCCCACCAAGAACACCACTACTATTATCAATTTCCCTACAACAAAATATTTCAAATTAGCTTTCCATCTAATTCTTTCCAACCGTTTATATATATTCTGAAACAAGATTAATGAATAATACAGTCAGCTTACCGGAGGAGGAGGAAGAATTGGATTTAGATTTCATGGTATGGCCAACTGCTGAATCAATCTTGATGTTGGCACCTTGCTATTCAGATATACAAGAGGATGTATTAAATTAAAGAAGATCAAAATCAATCAACTGGGAAGCTGGTAAAGAGTCCTTGTCTAGAGCGGTGGATAAAAGCAATTGATTGGTTGGTTGATGGTATGGTCATCTTGCTCTTTGGGCAACACAAACCCAAATATATAAAGATAGAAGAGAGAGTGAGATTCATACGAGAACAATAACCAAATAAGTGAATAATAAAACGATCGATTTTGGTGGAAAATCACATGTGATTCATATAGAAAATTATTGTGGTCGTGGCCATGTCACCCACACACATTTACGTTGACTATTAGTGTATCTACATGTGATTCAATCGTTTTTGTGTTCTTAACTTAAATTGTGAATTGAATCTTGGGGAGATGGATTTGTGTAAAATTAAAATGAAAGTAAAGTAGTTGATAATGATATGATGATGGATGCAAAATTAGTAATCATGAGATTAAAAAAAATAATAAAAGAAAGATGAGAATAAATAAAGCTGGACCTGGTAATTAAAGAGTACCCATCCAAGAATAATGAAGGCAGAAGATGAAACAAATGAACGACTCCTCCTTTCAGTTGGATCTCCTTTCACATATAAATACTACTCATCTAATTAAAGGAATACATAAATAAATATATAATATATATATATATATATATATATTATATAGCATTTGGTCCGCCATTCTTTAATTAATTAATTAATCAAACCCCATATATAAAATTAATATTACTTGTGTCTATTAGAATTTAGAAGACTGTTCGCACAATGTAGTGAGATATATCTCGATTTTAATATTTTGTCTTACTAAATATTATAATATGATTTATGTGATTTTGAAAAAGAAAAAAACAAGAACTTTTAAAAATATATAGCTATTCACCTCACTAACCCCACTGTTGTTGGTTATTTAGAATATATATATATATATATATATATATATGGGAATGTTCAAATAAAAACCACTCAATTTGTAAAAACTGTGAAAACCTCATTCAACCGATCATAATTTTTTATTTTGTTCATTTTTTTGTAATTATGAGAGGAAGATTAAATATTTTTATTGTGTAGGGTGTTAATCATGGATATTATCATCTTCATTATTTTAATTTTAGAGAAGTACATGAAACAGTTTCATTAAAATTTCATTAAATATTATATGAAACAATTTCATAACCATATATGAAACAAATTCATCAAAAAAGTATTATATGAAACAATTTCATAACCATATATGAAACAAATTCATCAAAAAAATATTATATGAAACAATTTCACAAGATTAAACAATTTCATGAAAAAATTTCATAAAATCAAACAATGAAATCGACGTATGAGGGTGGTTTGTACAGTTTTTACAAATAAAGGTGGTTTTCATTTGATCGCTCATATATATATCCCACTTTTGATCACTTTTAATCTCATGCTCACCCAAGAATTGCGTTTTAGAAGGAAATTAATCTGGTGCACCTCATTAGTGTTGACATTCAATTATGATTGATTCAATGGTGGATATTTAGGTGGCGTTTGTTTTTTAATAGGGACTGAAGTCTGGTTTCACTTCTGATTTATAAGATGTGGTTTTGAAGTCTGAAATGTGGATCAATAAGATTTTTTGTTTTTACATCCGAAGTCTGAATTTTGAATCGATCAAACTAATCAATAACATAAAAGATAAATAGTTTCTTTACAAAAACATAAAAGATAAATAGTTTTTGCTAACAAATCTCTTCCAGCCCCCAAAATATGAATCATTTGGTAGATGACAGATTATGATTAAGAGGTATTAAGGTATACATTTAGCACTTAAAATTTCAAAGAACATTTATAACTTTTAAACTCTTATATTTTAGAAATAAAACAAATGCTCTTAATACTCAAACGTCTGAATGAATCAGACTTCAGATAAATTAAGAGGTAATTTAAAAAAAAAAAACAATCCTTTATTCTTACGTTTCTCACCATAACTTTCCTTCTCACCGAGACCCAACTTTATATATATATATATATAGGGACTTTCTTTTGAGAACCAATTAAATTATGATAACTTTGAGAACTAGTACATCATAAGATATTTTAGATGATTTTTTCATCTAAGACTAGGATTTAGAATAACGATTAACATATATTTGTTTCATATATATTTGTTTCACAATATGAACATTTTTAGTCTGTTTGTGAAACAAAAGTTACACATAAAAAAGTTTTACATTGTGAACTACATACATATGAAGTAAACTCATTGGGAAACAAATATATATTCATCAATATATTAAATGTTAACGTTAAATATAAAAAAATATATGAAACAAAAGATTAAGATAATAGTTCTTATAGTTATTATAATATATAATCTATATATATATATATATATATATATATATAATTTTGTTTAAGCAGATGCATGTTTCAAACTACTTGTTGTTTTTGTTGATTGAGAATCAAGTATTTCGACAATCTTGTCAACCATTCAATTCATTGGGTTATATTTTCATACCTGCCATCCTTGACCACTCACCATCAGTTTATTTAAAAACACTAATTTCCATTCTTTTCTCTTATAATTGAATTTGGTGCATGATGAAATACAAAAACCACTCATATAATTAATATTCCATTTCCAAGGTATTTTAAAAAAAAAATATTATTAAAACATTTAAAATTATTACGACACATCTATATAAATCATACAATTATTTAGTTTTATAAACAATCTCTATCACGACATATATATATATATATATATATATATATATATATAGACTTGGGATAATATGAGACCAAGACTTTTTTGTGAGACCCTTAAGACCAATTCTCAACCCTTGGATTAGATATACAATCTCAACATTCATAATCACAAAATTACCACGAGACTTCTCAATAATTACAAAATTGTCACCGTGCAATTTAGACCATTAGATTATTAGCTTATAAAGTTGATCAATGAACATAAATTGGTCTCACGGGTCTTACAAATAACACTTGGTCTTACATGAACCCAATCATATATATATATATATATATATATATATATATATATATAAAAGATCCCATAAAATCCATTTTGTTATAAGAACCATATATAATGGATAATAAAACTATGTTCATTCCTTCTTGTGAGAGAGTTTCATAATGAACCATTACCACATGCAAACTGAAAATAACACATGAAGCTCATATGAGATATACAACCCTAATACTCTTCTTGAAATTGCTGAACGCCTTGAATAACTGGCTAATCACAATTTTTCTAAGTGTTCTAAGTCGATTGGTTGGCTTTCTCATGTACAACTAATTTTGTCGATCTAAACAATTAACTGAACTAAGAGGGTGTTTGGTGTTTTATATATATATATATATATATATATA